GAGAGAGAGATCGGCACACACAAAAAACACACACTCAGACCGAAACAACAAGCAACAGTGTTAACACAGTCACACAACCACACAACCTCAGACAAATGTAGATGAGGTGCCAACAAAGAAAGGAGGGAAAAGGGGATGGCGGTGTGTTTACAATGAGAACACACACAGGCGTCCAGCAGCATTCAGCGGTAATTTACAGAGGTGCCATTAGGTTTCAGAGCGCTGCTCCGCTATTCTGTTGTTAATTTACAGACATGTCATTAGAGCAGACAGGAGAACATAAAGCATCTCCGCATCGATTTGGACGTCCCGGCCCGCGAACGGTCGCTCTGTTGCATCTCGCGTGCAAATCAGAAAGAAAGGCATACGTGGGGTTACGCGAATGCGACGGAGACCATGTGTTGAGCGTGCATCTGCAACAGCTCCCGCCCCTTCATCTCCCTCAAGTGGGCAGGTTGGAGTGGATCTGTTGTAGCTCAGATTAATGGAGTGAGTCAGTATTAGCTCAGAGTAAACACTGAAGCAGACACTGACATACACACCGCGTGTCACACTTCATCCTGTGGAAAGCACTGTCGATCAACGCCAGGGAGTTGCACGACGGAGGAGTACCATGGCCCCGACACGGAGACGCTCAACAATCACCTGACATTAACGATAAACTGAGGAGACGAAGAAGAAACTCAATTTCCAAAATGTAGTGATCTGCAAAAGTATTTATTTTTCTTAAACTTTGTCCTCCAAAGTTCAATGAATCATATTTGTGATCATCTTTGTGAGAGGAGTGAATAATTCTGAAAAAGACTTGAGACTGCGGCTGAAGTCTAATAGATGAAACATCTATTAAGTCTGGAAAATGGTGAAACTAAACCAGTTTTGGTTTAATATCACTAATATTCAGGCTTCGTTACTACCTGACCAACAAAGATATCAGTTAAATACAACCAAAATAATTTAGATCAGAGAATATTAGGGCTACATGAAATTAGAAAATCTTGCTATATGAGAATATTTGTAAGTATTGCAATGACTATTCTAATCTTCGTCTTTCTCCTCTTTCTCATGTGGGCATCCTAAACTCTGTCCTGTAGCATTTGTCTTCGATGTTAAAGAGGTATGAATATTTGTGGAGGGCACTGTGTGCCTGTTTCAAGTACCATCGCAAGCTATAAATTTCTGTTGAATTTAATTGTGGTAAAAGTGGTCTGAGGTCTGTCTGGCCTTTATTCGCCTGGCTTTGCCTCTCAGAAACCATCTCAACAATACAGTCTGATTAGATTCAGTTGAACAAACAACAGAACAGAATCCAACCCTCAAACTGGATTCCTGTCTCCAGGAGGCTTAGCTGGTTGATTTTAAAGATGAAGTGAAAAAACAACCAATTTGTCTTTTAGAAAACGTCAAACATTATTTGATGTTAAGCTGGTATAGAATAACCGTACAAACAAATAAATCAGTTTTTAGTATGTTTTTTGGTTTAGTTTTAGTGAAAATCTTTAAAAGTGATGTTCAAAAAATAAAAACCTGTGCTACAAAATGAGAAATGAATTTTCTTTGTTTCTTAAAAACCAAAGCTCAAGGAGAAAAACTCTGTGGCGCTGCTTCAGCTGTTTTCACACCATGTCCTTCCTGTTCTGCCTCTTCTTTACTTCCTGTTGTCTTTCTCTCCTGCTTCATAGTTTCTTTGTCTCCTTTGGTCACTCTAATTGTGTTCTGTTTCGTGATTGATCATTTCTGTTCAGCCACTTATTCCATTACATTCCCTCTGTCTCTGCTATCTGCTTTTCTCAATCAGCTGCCCTCACTCTGGTTGATTAGGCTCCACCTGTGTAATGTTTCACTGATCACCTCTCCTCAGTATATATCCCTCTTTGGGTGAGTCTGTCTCTGCTGGTTCTTGTTTTGGATTTGGATTTATCCTGCTCTTCATTATTTTTTTTCATGTGTTAGATTTTGGTTCCTAGACTCTGATTTTAGGACTCTCGTTTCAGTTTTCATTTGCCCCCCTTTGCCTCATTAACCTTCTTAGACCTATGTTTCAAATCTCCACCTGGATATTTTTGCTTATTTTAATTGTACGCAGTTTTCTAAATGTCTTGTGAGTAAATATATTTCCCCATTTATCCATAACAACTGGAACTTTCAATATCTAGCAAGTTATTTTCACAGTTTACCGTCTATTAAAAGAGCACCCCTCAGATTAATTTCACTTCCTGCTACAGTGGAGGTGAAATTACCGTAATAACCTTGATATTGGCTGGAAAGCGCAACGTCTCCCCTTTCAGGAATCTTTCAGATAGCACAAAGTGTGGTGGAATTACGGTACTGCAAATTTGGCTTGATTAATCTGTTAGACTGGAGGGTTAAACTTCTTTATTTTTGCATCCTTATGTGCCTTTTATCGACCAACATTTTGATGTTGCAGAACCTAAATAATGTGCTTGTACTGCACAACAGCTATCTTTCACATTCTGCAGTTAAAACCTACACAAGATGTGATCTAACTTTACATATTTTGCTTTTTAATGTGCATCTCTGCCCTCCAGATATTCATCCACATCTGCACTGACATCATATAAAGGGTATCAGAGGCAGCACCATGAATTAAAATATATAATTTCATCTTCACAGAAAATGCCAGCAGAGAACTGTACAAAGATGCAGCTAAAGTGTCCACTCAGGTTCTTGACTTACTTGAGATTGATCATACTTCCTGTTTTGAGTCCATATGCATAGCCAGGAATTTAAATGGGCCCAGACTTTGTTTTGCAAAATTTTCACTGTAGAAATAAGTAATGCATAAATGAAAGGCAACTCTTGTCTCTGCTTTACTGTGATTTTGTATTCAGAATAATCTTTTTGTCGGTCACAAGAATCCCTTTTGAGTCAAACAGTTGTAAATATTTAATTACCCCTTATCCAACTGCTAACAATAGTTTCCACCTTCAATGTTTTGCCACTCAGCTAAGCAAGAAGGAGGTGGACTATGCAGTAAAATGCCCTGACTGAATAACCTAAAAATTCAGTACTTAGAAATTAAAATCTGCTGTTTTTCATCTGGAACTGCTCTGTCTTGTGACAACGTATCCGAAACATTTTACTATTTTCAATATTCTTTGGTGTATGTGGAGTTACTGAAGGAAGAAGAAATATAAGGTTAATTATTTTGGCTTTTCAAATTAAGTCAGAGGAAGCCCATGTTGGAAGCTATATGAAAGAAAACTGCACTTACAATGACATGCGTAAAAAAGAGTGAGACTTTCAGCAGATAACAAGAAGGCTGGACAGAATAAAACTGAAATTGAAGTATAGATCTAATGACCGTGCAGCCATAAACTATAAGAGGCGAGGGTGAAAGAAAGAAGAAGGAAAAAAATGTGAATCTATGAAATGCATCTGAAAATATACATGAACAGTGTTCAAAAGAAGTAAGATCTGAACAATCAAGGCTAGAGGAGGAGCGGGAATAAGCAGAAATTTAAAGATGATTGGCGTTAGACCTTGAAAGCTGCTGCTCTTATGAATAAGGCAATCTGTGGGGAGACGGGGGAGGCGGGGAGAGACGGAAAAGCTGATCGGATCTCTGCTGCTCCGAGGGACCAGCTGCAACTGTACCTCCCCTCAAATAATCAAACACACATCACACAGATTTTCCTGTATGCTGGTGCACGTATGGTGTGTGTGCCTGTGTGTGTCATTTACGGCTTTGTCTCATCTCATGGGTCTCCTCCTCAATGTTTCACAGAGTAATTTGGTTTCTCCATGGCAACCCTGTGTCACAGGGGGCTCCAGCAAAAAAAAAAAAAAAAAACAAAAAAAAAGAGGGTGCATGTGTCTTTCAGAGAAAGAGAGATGGTGAAGGAGGAGAAGAGAGAGAGAGTGATTGAGTGAACAGTACATTATCATGGACAGCTGTACTGAATCAAAATGGCGGATGGAGGCTGGGAGCACATCAGGGGAGCCTTCATTATACAGCACCTGATAGAGGGAGCAGGGTGGAAAGAAGCAAGGGAGAGAAAAGAGAGAAATGCACAGGAGGGATTTGAAAAGAGAAGCGGGGAATGGAGGCACTCATTGAGATGGGAGAAATGGAGGGATAGCAAGACGGCTCGAGGTATGGGAGTGGCAGATCGAGGGGCTGGGCCGGCCGGCCGGAGAGAATGAAACAGAGAAAAATGCTGGTGTATCTAAATCCTGGTGTTGCAAGCCTCAATCATGGCAGCCCTGTCATTCTGCTGGAGATAGCACACTGCAATTCCCCTGCACCTCATTTTTAGCCCACCATGCAGTTCTGCTATCAGCTCCACTCAGACACTGCACACACACACACATTTATATTGCAAACATCCAGCGTGAAGGCATTCCTTCTTAATAACCGACAGGTGGATTAACTAAAAACTCATATGCAGTGTATAGATGTAGATGTCCAGAGTTGGAAATGTATGTAAATGCATTTCGGTGTATATAACGTTCCGATAGTAGTGCCTTCACGTCTGAAAATTCAGTCAGTAAAAGGCGAGCTCGCTAAACGAGTGCTGTTTCCATCTCTGCTCTGTGATATACCACGTCTGGCTTAGAAACCGATTGGGTTATCACATCACAGCCAAGGGAGCAATACTGTAGAGGAGGATATTACTGTCAGGACGCAGTGACAGATCGGCTGTCTCAAATATGGGATCTCTTTTTCTCCTTTTTCTTTTTTTTGTTGTTAAAATGAAGATGTTAGTTCCTAGTTCTTTCTCTTGCATGAAAACCCTGGGCAATAAATTTATAAAATCCTAAACATAACTCATTTCCATTACTGTATATTCCCATCAGAACTTCAGGAACTGGAATCAGGTAGAGCAGATTGCCCAGGAGAATGGCTGAATCTGAGTACTGGCTGAGTGAGTCAAAGCAACAATGTCCTTTGAGTTGATAATTCATAATTGTTACATCTATCATGAAATGTTCTTTAAGGTTGTGGTTGTTACTTTGATGTTGATTTGGAAGTTATTTTGTTGATGTGTTTATTTTTTGTTGTTTTACGTCTCGGGTGGAGTCGTGGTTCCTGGACAACCATGTGGACTGTGAACAAGCAGACTGTGATAACTGGGGGAACTGACACCATTAGGATGCAAAGGTGGTGTCATTATTATGCATCTACATGGAAAAATGTATTCAGTAATGACCATGTTCAAATCAGCTACATTGGACATTGTGTGAACTGCTTTTCTTTTCTTTTCTTTTTAAATCAAATTCCTTTATTGTATTGTCACAGGTTTTGTTCTGATTTACAATGTCCTTTCACTGAGTGATATTGGGAAGGCTAGCTTGTTTGAGTGTAGCACCTTTAAATTCCTGTATAAGACGCCACACGGGTTGCAGAAAGTAAGATGAGGAGTAACAAATCAGTACAAAAGAATTTATATGATTGGAAAAAATAGAGATCAGAACTGGCCATTTTTACCTGGACCAGCTTTTCTATTCGTTAAGTGCATCAAAACTGTTTGAACAGCGAGAACCTTTTAGGTTAAATAAGAAATCTGATGCAGGTCAGGGGACTATGCTTTGATTTATCAATTGGATTCATTTTCTTAATTTCTTCAATTTCTGTTGGATTCAAAAGTACATTTATATCTTTTATGCATAACAGTCTTTGGGAAAAAGAAATGGAAATCGATCCAAATAGAAATCTGAAGAAACTTTATATATGTCTTCTTGATTTAAGATATTCATTAAGCTTTAATTATCTTTTTGCCAACATTCTCCAGCTTTAGTTGATCCTTTTTAGTTTTACTTAGATTTGACTTGACTCTCGTTATTTTACACCACAGATTGTGTGATTTTAGTTTGTCTTTTTAGATTGCCATTTGTTGCCATTTTAAACCAATTAATTTATTAAAAGCAGAAAATAGAAATAAGGAAGCCAGTTGAGAATAGAGGGGAAACATCAGGCAGACCAATTTTTTTCTGCCTGACCAGCCTTGACCGATAAATGACTGGTTTCAGAATCAAAAGTATTGCTTTTTATAATCAGCAAATTAACAATACATCAACACAGCAAGGAAGTGCTAACAACGCAACTCTTTAGTGTGAAACTTTTTACTCAGTGAATATTACTTAAACATTCATAAATGTTAGTTCTTCGTTTTTTGTTGGGATTCAAAACTACTTCCTCTATCATCATATTTCTAATGGTCGGTATCAATTATATTACAATATCCAATCAATACCACTGAACTTTTATGTAGGAGCTATTTGTGGATTCACCTATTTGTGGACTTTTCTGTGCAAAGTAAATCCAAATTATTGCAGAAAAGTCACTGAGTTTGTCCAAAATATTCAAAAGAAAATGCAGATTGGGAAGCTAAAATACTGATGCTACTAGACTTGCTATGCCCAGAGCGGAGATGAGGAAGACTGTAGACAGTAGTTTCTGTGGTTTCATGGTTTCTACTGTGCTTATTAATGGTTATTAAGGTATATTTGGAGTTTGAACTATTAAAACAGGCAATCATAAGTGTTTTTAGAAGGGGTGTCAAGTATGAGGTCCTTAACTCTGTGTCAACCAATAACAGCATGGAGGTTCATCTCAGTGAAAAAAAGCTACACAATGTAAGAAAAATGTGTTTCATAGTAGTTAAATTGATACCAGTTGCAGTAAACAAATGTTTCTCTGTCCTCTTTTTCCCCCACATCAAATCTCTAGATCAGATGTGGACATCAAGGGTTCATTTAATTGGTCAACAATATTATTGGTATGCAGAGCGTGAATACATGGCATTAATAATGGACTACCAGGTGTTGTACTGTGCTCATTTCAATACTTTATGCTGCACTGTTTTAAATACATTAAACTAGCATTAATGACAACAAAACCTTTTGCATAATAGCAGATTTGCATGTTCTAAATGCGTTTTCGTCACACTTAGGAGTCTTTTAAATACCTCTGGCTTTCATTTTAGGTAAAGTAATGAGAAAAGCGCCTCCTGCCACTGTGCTAAATCTTAACTTTTCGTGTGTCTTTTTGCTCATATCTCTCCTTCCCTTCTGCCTCCATCTGTAGAGTTTGAATTTGGCCTTCTCTCTGGTACCCAGGGAAACTGGTTTGTTTCCATGACAATGTCTTCAGGCGGAACAGCGTATTTGTCTTAAGCTGGATAAGATCAGAGTCAGTTTCATTCCTTTTTAGACAAACGCACACAGAAATAAGCGCGGCGGTATCATGTTGCAAACGCACAGCGAGGATCACAGAGGGATGGCAAAGCATGCACAATGTGAAAAATTTACATTTGCGCAGGTCGTTTGTATAGCAACAAGGACAAACCCGTGGAGACATACGCACAAGGAAAAAATACCGAAGCTCTCTTTCATATGCTTGTTAACAAATAATGAGGGTATAAGGAAATATTTTCATAAAGGTAATATAATGGGGCCATAATGAGTATTGTGGCTATTTCAATTATCTAAATGCCAAACAAGCACTCTAAATCAATGTGTGTATGTTCTTGTTTTGGCAAGCGGCAAAGAAATGAACACGAAATGCCAGATGGGGTACTGGAGTGAATCGCCAATCGGGCCGCTACTTCCAGCACCCGCCCAGAAATGATGGAAATTGCTGGAGCAGGTAAGAGACAATTGGAGCACCCACTAGACTCCCTCTTTCATTCCAAAAAGACAAGTGTGTGTGTGTGTGTGTGTGTGTGTGTGTGTGTGTGTGTGTGTGTGTGTGTGTGCATGCCAGTGCTGTTTGAGGAATCTGCATCGCTGATGAAAACCATCCAGGTTGATTCTGAGACTGTGTCGTGTTGCTAAGCCCAAGGAGAGATGCAGCTCCCCTGCTGAGAAACGCCGCAGTCTTATCTCCCTCCCTGTCTCCATGTTCGTCTCCGACCTTCTCTTTCCACCTCTCTTCTCCCGCTTTCCGAAAGCGTTCGTATCTTTCCTCACCATCACTTTTCCACACTCCCGTGCCCTATCCTCCTCGCACACTCCCTCCCAGCCTCCGCTCTATCTTTCCCCCCTCCTCCATCCTCTGAAAACCTTGGTGTCCGTTTGATGTCTTTATTTTTAGGCGATTACAAAGACCGTTGGTTTTGTCTGTTCCTTATTAGTAGCAATGAACGCTAAAGGTGTTAATATGTACACGTCCTAACAGGATGATAATTGCATACAATTACCGGGAAAAAAGTCTACATTTATCAGTGGGATTACACATCTCTCCTGTTGAATTTAGTAGCTGTGTATTTCCTTGATAATGTGGGGGTAGAGCTCTGTATGTGGCGCTTTGACTTTCATTACAAGAGTTGCATGGGTGTTAAGCAATAATGAGCATTCTACTGTAATGTGTGTTAGCAAAATTGAGAAGAGGCAGAATTAGTCCCATTAGACAAGGAGGAAAATCCAGGAAAATTGCGCATCTCACAGTAAAAAAAAAACAACTTTGCACCAATTGCTTCTCGAGTGTTGACGGCCGGAGGGGACAGTTTTTTTCACAGCTCAAGATGTGGCCATCAGAATCCAAATTCACGCCAGTCAGTGAGGCAGGAAGCCAATCAACAGACACTTGCCTCTTAACACCAAGCGTCTCTCTCTTTCTCCGTCTTGTGTTGGACACTGCTCATTTGCTCGCCTTGTGAGATTACGCAACCATTACCGACTAATGTGTCGAGTAAGAATCCCTCATTGATAATTATGCAGTCTATTCTGCAGATTTTCCTCACTGATTAAGAAGTTTTGTGAACATGAAATATTTTTCCTGATAATATTTCTGGTAAAATGCGACATGTTTCAGGGGAAAATATTCTATAAGTTCTCAAAAATAATTGACTGAAAACTGACAGTGAGATCGATAAATCTACGCTAAAGTATTAACTTCCCTTGGACCATTCTACATTTTGTGTTATTTTTGGATGTAGACAGACAGGTTCTGGCTACCAGGACTTTAGGAGAAGCAGCCAGTCAGTCTGGAGCTAAAGAGACCAACAGCTATGGCAAATATAGATATATTTTTAAACATATCAAAGAATTAGCTTGCTTCCCTTTATGCAGAACAGCGTGTCAGAAAACGAACACACCAAGTCCACTTCTAAACACCATCCCCATGTCAAAACAGGATGGTGACATCATTATGCTGTGGGAATTAATGCCTTTATCAGAAGCAGGAAAGAAAGTCAGAGTTTTCCTTTTAGAAGAAGCAAAACGACAATTTTAAACTTAAAAATCACTGATTATAACCATTCAATATTTAGATGTGCAAAACTTATAGAGACATCTCCTAAGACATCACTGCAGAGAAATTTCATTTAACTGCATTTGTTGTGTCAGAGAAGGTTAATATAAATGCATGCCACACTTCTAAGATTTTTATTTACACATTTACATTTGTAGTTAGAACCTACCAAAATTCGAAAAGGTTCAAAGTGGATACTTTTGCAAAGAAGTGTAAATTGGTATTGTAATAATAATAATAATAATAATAATAATAATAATGTTTTCCCTAAAGTTTCAGTAAAATTATTGTAGTTTTGATGATTTTACATATCTGCCCTAAGAAAAGATGTGAGACACAAACAGTTTGTCGTTTTGTTTTTTGTTTTTAATTAAATTGTCTTAGGGATTAATAGGGTAATTTTGGATTATTAGTGGCACTAATTTACTTCCATACATTTAATGATTTTCTATTCTTACATTTAATCTGAACTTGAATGAGAATTTATAAAGACTAAGACAACCATTCAGTTGGTATCAATCTAGACTAATCTGAACTGAATCCCACTCCAGTGACATATGTACTTTCAACCTGACTCGGTATCACCAGGATTCGGACTATAAACAAAAAATGGAGTAATAATAATACAGTAAATCTTCACATGATCTCATAGTTTCTCATTGTTGTGTTGCGACTCCAGTTAAGTTTGATTTGCAGTCGCAAATGTGAAATCATTCAAGGAAAATCATTCAATTTGTCTGATTTTTCCCTATTCAGTAAATGCATCAAAATGAAGAACTTGCAACATTTCCAGTTTACAACAGCCTGTTTTATTGATGCACTTTTTCCATTCAAATAAAGCTTATGGATAATTTCTTTAATGTGCAAATGGGAATAATCTTGTCCTTATTACCTTTTCTGCTAGATTCAAAAGTACTACATCAATAAAACCCTGAGCCCATTTCTTTTATGAGTAATAGTCTTTGGTTAAAATAGGACATGGCAGGTTGGACCTTAAGGAGAACGGAAATTGGTTTCCACCAGAGAAAGCCTGATCGGTGCATCTCTGAATATCAATTTTTGCAATATTGCATCTTGGATGCAATATTTAGTAGCTTGTCATTTTTTAAGCTCTGTTTGGAAAAAACATATTTAACCAATGAAATGGACTCTCAATGCCCTTGATGTCCACATTTGATGTAAATTTCAGAGTCCAAAATGCTAGATCTGGTGGAAAGTGACAGGAGCAGGGAAATAATGAAAAAGTAAGAGAGTAGTGAGGGAAATTTGGGCCAAATTAAATCAATATTGCCATCGTAAAACCCAACAGTAACACCGCAATGTCAGGTCTTACGAATATGATCAGAAATTTTGTCCCCAAGTTCCATAAAAGAAACAGAATATTAATTTCATTAAGAGCCAATCTTCTTTCATAAAGTAACAGACTATAACAGGAGTAAGTCAAAAGTGTATTCAACTAATTAAAATAAGTTAAATTTGTTTCATACTCGGTAGCTGATTTATTATTAGGACTGTACATGCTGATGAGTAAGAGGTAGGAGACATGCTGTGCGTTGCTGGTACTGACTGGTTCTTCTCTTGGCGTCTGCTACCACTTCCAACCCCACATATGGTGAAGTCAGCGTGCAGCTCGTCTGCTGCGGCTATCTGTGCTTTTTCTGTTTGTGGGATATGCATATGTCCAGGACAAAGCCATGGGAGGCGGAAAGGCCAAAAAACAAAAAAATAAAAAATAAAATAAAACTCAAGCAAATAATTCTGAGAAATCTAAAGTGTGTGACATTGAACATGTGCCCCATTATGGAGTGGAGTGCATCCCCCATCTGTGCATTTCTGCCACAAAACAATGTGTTAAAAAGAGCCGTTTTGGTTGCCGACGCTTTATGAGTCACAAATCATGACTCACAATCCACCTCCCCAGAACACACACACACACACACACACACACACACAACCCGACACAGCCTCAATCCCTCTCCTGCCTTCATCCACTGACCATGAAGAATATGTGCAGGCAGCCTTACTCATGCATATTTACACCCAGCACACGCTAGCTCACACACTCAGCAGGCACTCTCTAAAGGTTATTGTGTGTGAGTGTGTGTCCGTTTGTCCGTCCGTTCACGTACTTTTAAAGGTCACCTCAAGAGAGGCTGACCACATGTCTAGGTTGTGATTCTTGGATTGATATCGAGAACATTTGGACAGGCTGCAAACAAACAGCCATTATTAAGTTGACATTGTGTTAAAGCTTGAAACTCACCGGCCACTTTCTTAGGTACAACTGTTCAATTTCTTCTAAGCGCATCACAGTGAATTATTACATCAATGCACTTAGGTATCGAGCATGATGGAGACTACTTGTTGAAGTTGAAAGCAAGCATCAGAAGGTGATTTTTAATGAGTTGCATGGTAGTTCCATGTTTTGCTTGCCAGAAATTTGGGAATTTTATGTGCAAATATGGTTTGAAAAGAGAAAATATCCAGTAAATCGCAGTTGTGTAAACAACAATGTCATGTTCGTGTGTGAAGACAGAGGAAAATGTGAACGGATTCCACTTTAACTTAAGTGAGACCCAGGTTTGTAGGCGGACCAGAGTTCACTTTTTTGGTCGGCATCAGAGTTTGATTACACATTTACACCTCCTCAAATGAACTGAACTTTCTAGCAAACTAGAGTCCAATTAAAGCGGACTAAACAGGGCTGGTGTGAATGCACCCTAACGAAATGCACATCATGTCCAACCTTGAAGCAGATGACCTACAGCAGCAGAAGATAACACCATGTGCCACTGCTGCCTGTTAAAACCAGGAAAGTGAAGCTACAATTCACACTGTCTCACCAACATTGGGAAACAATCTTAATTTCAATTGCAAGGTCAGAAACTGGCATGAACAAAATATCCTGCCTGGTATTGACATTTCAGTGTAATGGTTTGGGAGATATATTCTCACAACTCTTAGGATGCTTTAGTACAAACTAAGCCTTGTTTCTGACCCTTTAAAACCTGGTGTATCTATCTTTTAATTTCTTCTTCCAGCAGGATAACTCCATGTCACAAAGCTCAAATCAAAGATGCATCAGAAAAATCTGCAGCAACTGCAAGATGCTAATACGGACTAAAATCTCAGAATCTTTCTGACACCAAGTTGAATGTATGCCATGAAGAGCTGAGGCAATTCTGAAGGTAAAAAGGGAGCCCAATCTGGTACTAACAAGTACTGATTTTGTTGATGAACATTGTTTTGTCCTAGTTTTGGTAAAGACCAAGGAAATGAAAACTAAAGCTCAAACAGAAATCATTGATATTTTCCTGACCGATTCAAGATGAGACAAATATGGAGGGTATTAAATCCTGTCAGATATAAGGTTGGTTGTGTGCAATTTTTGTATATATCCATTCCATAAATATTTAACCTGGATGTACAGAAAATAATTTTCCCCACTTATGAAAAATGTTTGGCAGCTCAAATTTGGTCAAAT